GTTTAAATCAGCATTTATTTTGATTGGCTAACTAGTTTCGGAAGGTTTCGCTAGTTTCGTCTAGTTTTGCCAGTTTCGCCAGTTTCGCCAATTTCGTCATAGTTTCAGATTATCGGAAAGTTTCGGATTTTAGTTCTTGAAAGCCGAAACGTTTCGACTTTAAGATTTTGGTTTCGCCCACACCTTTATCAACGTAACAATGATTTTCTAAACTATTACTGTGCCTTCTTTAATGAATTTTATTTCAGCACTTCTTTTCGTAAAATATCGTATTATTAAATATATTTAATGAAATAATGTATAGATTTTGATTAATTAAATTAGAATTTCATATAAGAATATAAAATTTTAACTTCCGTTTCTTTCATAATCCAAGGGTGCCACACAATAATCACGTAAATTTTCTATATTTTGCTAATAAAGATTCTATCATTGACCACTCATTTATCCTATATATTTTGACCTATGAGATTCAAAGTTTAAAGTGTACATATGAAAGTATGCCATGAATATACTTGTATAACAATTACACAAACGAATAACTAGTAAGAAATAGGTTTCTTCACAAATATTTCATAAATATATATAAATGTATACACCAATCAATTTTGTCGTTATAAATGTAAATTCATTAGTCAATTAGTTCTTTAATAATACATATAAACATGATTACATCAAGATTTGAAGTACTCATGCAGACAAATGGAGAAATTTACTTGATTATAATTTTCATACCACATCTTAAGAGTAGATGAAAAAAGATAATTTATTAATATGCTACGATTATAAAATGTTCTAGGACTGGACTTATGCATCAATCCAGGATGAAAAAGGATAATTTAGGACCGGTACAAGGACGAATTATGGAACAGATTGATTCAACCCTAGACAGGCATCTCAAAAATTTTATCATTTTGTTACATTTTTCCATTAATATTTGATCCCGTTTCATCTTCACGAGATGATATATAAAGGAAAACTTTACCTCAAATTACCTTCAAGCTTGTAGATAATGACATTTCTTTATCCAATATGTTTATGATGTGAATTTAATAATTTGTTTCATAATTGATAAAAAAAAAATTATTGATCGTAATGATCTGAAATGGTGATAAACAATTTTACAAGTTACAAGGTACTCAGTGAAAGAATGGCGGAACTGGTGTATACAAACTTTATTATTAATATTCTTTTTTTATTATTTATTTACATGACCAATACTAACGGAAATTTTAGAATTTAACTAATATTTGATGTTTCATCATGCTTATTCCGTTTTGGCATGCTCTCATCATTTTTCTGAATCGATATTATGCTTTGAGCGTTAGGTTGAGCCGATTGTCTAAAGCATTATTGCGTGATATAGGGATTATTATGTTTAAAACTTAATATTTTAATAATAATATGCGATTTTTATTGCAAAAAATTTACTAAAATTTTTTAAATTATCGATTGAAAATTAGCTTACTAATTTATAGCCCAAATTGTTTATTATTTATTTCTATTTTTACATGAAATTTATCAAAAAAAAAAAAAATAAGCAGACGATGAAATAAAGCTTATAACAACTTCTTATTATATTTGGAAGTGTCCATCAAGTTTTTGAAATGTAAAAAGAACTATCCTAGATTCTTAATAAATCTCGTATATATTTTCATTTTTGCATGAATAAAAAAAAGTTCTAGAAATAATTTAGAAGAAAGTTTTTTATTGAAGAAAATACTCATCCATTTTATCTTAAAAATTGCTTGAGCTTAAAGAAAATTGACTATAAATCTAAACAATAGATGTCTTTAACTGCCCATATGACGTTATAGACTATACTAAATCATTCCTCACCAATGCATTCTACAATTTAGAATCTATCATATGGAACAACTCCATTTATTATAACCTCCATGAAAAAAATGAAGTTATGTTAATTGATAAAATCAATAATCTTATTTCCGATTGGATTAAGGATTGTACTTGATTAATGACAAATAAGAAAATTTATGATTTTCTTTAGAAGACTTTCTTTTTTTATATTCAATATATTTCACAAATTTACATTAAGGCTCAGTTTGCTTTTGATAACTTGATGTGTCTCTTGAAAGTCAATGTTAAAAAATATCACCTTTGTATATTTTATGTATTCGTAAATACTTTAAGGAAGTTTCAAATTCAAATTTCATCATTACCGCTTTACAATATGATTGATTTTCCGCATATTACAAAAGAACATGAGAATGCAAATCATTTATTTCAGGCCAACGATCTGTTTTATGAATATGAAGATATTAAGCTTTCTATCTTTAATTCTGACTTTTAACTCATCAAAGTGTCTTTAAAAAAATTCCCAGAACCTAGCAATCAACACGAAATTCGTGATATCTCAGGATGCAGCTTTGATTATTATTATTAAGGACGTCTATCATTATATCGCATCATTTCAAAATATAATCATTATTAGCATAGAGAAATTAATGCTTAACCTTACTATTTTATTCGCGCTAATATACAATTCATCTTTTGGTTTTTAGTTGATTTATGTGATTTACATGCGAACTTTACTTACATAAAATGAAAAATATTTATATAAATTTAAATATTCAACCCAGTTACTTTCTTGAAATTTCTTTGGGAATTTTTATTTAAAGTTTCGAATTCGGGCTTCATGCCGTAGTGATATAATAAAATATTCTAAGTCTTATTAACTAATATCGATTGTCAAATTAAAATTTTGATAATGCAGCCAGAATTAAATAATTATGAAAATCCTGTCATATGATCCATGATATATAAGGGGATCATGAAGCAAAAAAAAAAAGCCACGAGTTTCTTTGTTTCCTTAGCTTTTTGCAAACAACCAAATATGTCGACCTCTAAAGTCAAAACTTCGACCTCTCAAGTCAAAGGTACAGTAATGAGACTGCCTTTAATTCATATGACAAAGCGAACCGAAAAATTTATACTTTTCCGACTTTCCTGATAAGAAAACCACAATCTGGGTCTTGAAGATATTTTTCTCCCCTTATAAAGCTAGCGAGGCTTCGATAAAATGTCGCAGTTTCGTCTCCAAGCAACTAGCTCAAGGAGCAATGCAAAGAGTTGCACAACGTCTATACAAAAGATCAGTAATTATCCAAGGTTCCGATAGCAAATACTTTGATGATTTCCCGATGGAGATACACTTTGGAGAAAGCTTGGATTCACCTGATTACAGGAGAGAGTTTGGTTTCTGTAAAATTGAACAAAACATATTGGAAGACAAAGAAAGTGGAGATGAAGTTCCATCAAGTACAGATGACGAGCAAGAATACGATTATTAAATAAGGTAAGAATGACCTGCTTCTGCTCACAGTCTTATACCATGTCACATTTTGATTATAGATTTCTTCCTTTTGATTATAGATACATGGTTTCTCAATAATTGCTTGACTTTCTATTTTTTTTTTTATCTTATAATGATAACATTTTATAATACAAAGATAATAACAAGAATACTGTAATAAACTTCAATAAAGTTGTTTCAAGATTATAAATGGAATGTTGTTAAACAATTACTCCAAAACAGAAATATGAATTTAGAGAGATAAGTAACTGTGAAAATTTAGCCTGTAATTTAAATATAAAATATGTGTACTCTATTTACATAATAATGGATGACATTACTCTCACATATTGTTCATTCAGATAAATATCACAAAGAGGTGAACCTTTTCGATGATGACCGACGATCTAAATATAAAGCTCTGGAAGATACAAATCCTGCAATGATCACGAAGGCGAATTTTCGGATCTCACCTATAAAAGGATGAAAATAAAGGGCTAAGTGTGTTTACACATCAGATCATCGACTCATTTTGCTTAATTCAGAAACGAGAGATGCGGATAATGACATTTGATGTAAATGATTTTAAATCATGAAAATATTATGACACCTATTGAGTCCTGTTGAGAGCTTACGTAAATTCTATTCAACACTTTACTATTATATTAGCAATTTTCGTGTCTTAATTTCGTTCCAGGAAAATTCATCATACGTAACTCATTACCTGAATCATTATATGATAATTCGTCAATAAAAATGCATCATCTTAATTATTGATTATGTTTATGATGCATTTTCATTTGACGAAACCCATATGCCATATAATACAGACCCCCGCCAAAAGTCTCCGAACGCCATCTTTCAGGGGCTATTTCATACCGATTACGTCGCGTGACTGCA